TTCCTTATCAGTAAAATGAGCTGGAGAAAGAAATGGCAAAGCACTGTAGTATCTTTGCCAAGAAAACCCTCAATGGGGTCATGAAGAGTCAGACATGACTGAAAGGATTCAACAACAACAATGATAAACTAGAAAGCATCTAGAGGGAGGCAATTAGGGTGATGAAGGGTCTCAAAATCATGCCATGTAAGAACCAGTTGAAGGAAAGGGGGATGTTTACTTTGGAGAAGACTGATTGAGAGGTGGGGGTGGTAAGGAGATGATATCTGTCTGCTAGTTAAAAAAGGATAGGATTTTTTCTGTTTGACCCCAGAGGATAAGTGGAAATTACAAGAAGTGGACTGTCCATATTTTTTATGGAAATTTGGGACTTACAGAAGGTATCAGGAAAGAATCAGACTGGATAATAAAAACAGTAAATTTGATTACCTTGTGTTTTCAGTCACTTAAGGGAAGGTGTAAGGAGACACCCACGGTGGTTGCATAGGCACAAAGGGAAGGTTGAAGGCTACAATCAGGGCAGCTGCTAACATGTCCAAACATTAGGTCAGGTCACACTCACATATCAGAGCCAAGGAAAGGATATAGCCCAGCAGGGTGTCCAATGACAATTAAAGGCTGTGTATTTTATAGGGAAGGAGCAGGGGTCTCACTTCAATGCTTCTGACTGGGTACTTATCCTTAGTGTTACAAGAAGGAGGGCAGCCAAGATTAGCTATGTGAAGTTCCCTAGTGTACCAAGGGTATTTTGAGGGGGAAGTGGGGTACAAGGAAGATTCCAGTATAGAAATTCTCAGCAAAGGGCAGAAGAGGTTAGGCCCCAAAAAGTAGAGAGATAATTTGGACAATTGCACAAATTTAGGTTTTATTGTAAGGGAAAACTTTTAAACAATTAAAGCTTTCCACAAGTAAAATAGACAAACTCAGGTGTCATCCTGTTCTTCCTTATTAGGATTCTAAGGGGTAGAGGACAGCCTGTTGAATATATTGGAGGGGAGGCTTTGGTTTTTGCAGGGGTTGAACTCCGAGGTTTCTTCCAAATCTGAAGTTTTGTGATTTTATAACAAAGCATGTTTCTCACAATAATCAGTCCCCCTATTATTCTCCTATTACAAATGAGGAAACTGAGTCTTAGAAAGTTTCAGAGACTTGTCCATGGTTGCAAGTCTAGAAGTCTTTCCACATGCTGCCTCCCTCAATCAATCAATCAATCAATAATCCATCAATAAACATTTATTAAGTGCCTGTTATGGTCCTCCAAGGTTATAGCTAGAAGACACCCAGAAATCCTGATAAAAAGATTCTCTGAAGAAAGGGAAAGTCAAGCTGGGGTAATTTAGATATAGTCAATAAGTCAGGGAGATGGTAACTGTTAACTATGGCTCCTCTGTGCACAGAGCTCTGTCCTGGGTCTATGGGGAGAGAGTCCCAGGACAGAAGCTTCATATATAGAGTGTTTAGAGCTGGAAGGGACATTACAAGTCATATATTCCAATTTTAGGAGAGGAACTGGGAAGCAGAAATGTTAAATAAAGTACCTGAGGTCACATAGGTAGTAAAGTACGCCTCAAATTTGAGTCTTTTGTTGTTCAGTCATTTCAGACTCTTGACAAAGAGTTTTTGGAGTTTTCTTGACAAAGATACTAGAGTGGTTTTCCATTTCCTTCTCCAGCTCATTTTATAGATATGGAAATTGAGGCAAATATGGTTAAGTGACTTGCCCAGGGTCACATAGCTAGTAAGCATCTGAGGCTGCATTTGAACTCATGAAGATGAATCTTCCTGATTTCAAGCTTAAGTGCTGTAGTGGTGGAGGTGAGGGGCAAAGTGGAGTTAAGGACAGCAAGAAAGCTTGAGTTCTTATCCCGCTTTTAAAAAATCTTCAAGCTTTGAGTTATTTCGGGTACTTCTGGCATCCAGCTTTGAGGAGGACAATGGAAGAGGCCAACTCCACTTCAGGGCACTAGAGGAAAAGACTTCAGGAAGGAAGGAGATGAACTAGCAGTCTCCATTATGTTCCTATCCCCAGCAGGCAACAGCAGAGACTTTGCAGAACTTCCTCTTGAGTAAAATCTAGGATTCTCTGTCTCTCTGTCTCCCTGTCTCCCTCTGTCTCTCTCTGTCTCTCTCTGTCTCTCTGTCTCTGTGTTACCTCATTCCTATTATACTTTCCCATGTATACCTTCTCTGACAAATGGATTTGTTTGCTATGCGCTACGTGTATTCATAGAACTGGTATTTGGTGGGAAAGACATGAAGCCTTGGATTTAGAGCTTGGGACCTCTTTTCCCCTAATAATGACACAGCAACTAGCAGTTAGATGGAACTTGATCATATTCCCCAGACTAACAATATCCAAGAGAGCAGATAGATATAATTCTAGCCTGGTACCTCCTCTTTCTGCAGAGAGCAGAGTGGCTTCCTGTCCCAACTTCTTACTTCCCCTTCTCACAGGAATTAAAGTTTGCCTTGGAGAAGGGCAGGGGGAGAAAAGGCTAGAGAGGTGTCTCTTTGAGCCACACAAAAAGAGCCCTTGCAACATTTGGGTTTCTCTACATTTGTAAGAAGTCTGAAGGATCCAGCACCTTCCCATTCCTTTCTTCAAGGAGGTAGACACTGATCATATACAGGTTTTGGGCTTGCGAGTTGGTTCCTTTTGTTGCTTTAATCATATTTTCCAACCAAGCTTTCGATATCTTCTCCTATATCCACTTCAATTTCAGTAAAATCAAAGTATATTTTGATTTAATTTGGAGGATCCAATCCAATCTATGCCAGATGATCACTAAAACTAATAATACTAATCATCGATTTCACCCCAAATTTCTCCTAAAGCACTCAGTGTTGGAACAGGGTAGGGATCAATTTAGGAACTTAGATAATCTCTAAGGTCTTTAAAAATCTTAGGTTCATTTCAGCTTTAATGGTCTATCATCTGTTCTCACAATTTTTTGTAGGGGTTAGGAAGGGCATTTCTTAGCCCAATTGTTGTGTTCTATCAAAGCCAGGTGGGGCCTGCAGTGTTAGTCAAAGTGACCCTGAGAAATAATTTGGCAAAGGACTTTGGAATTCTCATCATGAAAGGCATTAGCACCAACAGGTGATACTATTTCTAGCCTCTGATCCACGGGCAATCCTCTCATACTCAGGTACTTGTACAGCCCAGATTTGATGAATCCTTCTTTTACAGAAGGTGTTCTGGAAAATGGCAGTAAGAGATGCCCAGAATGCAGGCCTTAGGATATGCCCAGAATAGAAAATGAAGACAAAGATAATAGCCCAGAATGTATGGGTGGAAAGAATTCCACACAGAAGGACTGAGCAAGCTGTTCAAATGTGGCATAGGTGATGGTCAGGCTTTGGATGTTGATTGGTTTGCCAAGGCTTTAATTGCTTCCCTGAGAACATACAAATCTCTATCCTGGCTCAGACCATGGATGCAGACAACCCCGTGTACTGTTGCCAAGAGAAGTACCAACCTGTGCTGGGAATTCAACTGCGCATTTAAGTACCTACTATGAACAAGACACTTTGCTAAGAGCTAGGGACACAAACACAAAATGAAACAATTCCTGCACTTGAGGAGCTGCCGTCCTAGTGAGGATACAAGGACAGAAGTGAAATAGTTCCTTCCTCCAAGAAGCATTCATTCTACTAGGCTAACATGATTGCCTGTTGACAAAAGTCCAGGATTGTTTTCCTCGAAGTTACCTTAAAGATTAGTAACCTTTAATCCCTTAATAAAAGGATTTGTTCTGTGAAGTTTGGATTCAGTCAAAGGGCCCCGCTTAAGGACCTAGAGGGCCACATGAGGCCACAGGTTCCCCACCCCTGGATTAGGCAGAGTTCTACCATGTCTTGGGAACCAAGTATGAATCTATTATTCACTAATTGACCCAAATCCATTTTCAATCCATGCCTGTAGATATTAGTACCTCCTGGGGATGTGGAGTTCCCTAAGTGTATTATTACCTGCCGTGGGGATTGGTGACTTCCTTATCTAGGCCCTAAGCTTAACTCTCTAATGTTACAAAGGGTATACCTTCCTGGATTTGGTGAACAATACCTTGTTCCTTCTTGGCACAATTACATTTGGGATTTCATTGTCTGAGATTTTATGGAATTCAGTCACATCTTCTCTCAATCTTTGCCTTTCCATAAAGTACTTTGAGCATGATTGGGCATTGAGTTCCACAGGAAACTTAGACTATTGTTATCATGTCTCTTCCCAGAACACTGCCCCCACCAAGTTACAGAAGGTAAAATTCCCCCCTCCTCTAAAACCATGGTCCACTTGGCTGACTCCTGGTGAAGGAGTACAGGCAGGGAAAGGCCTGTGCTTTCAGTTCAATCCCAAATCCACTCCTCTGAGAGGTTTTGTTTACTCTTCTCTAATGGTCCCCAGAGTCCTGGGATTGTGGTGGTGGCAGCAGTAATACTAATAACTCCTATTTAGAAAGTATTTTATGGTTTCCAGGAGAGAGGTCCCCATCTCGTCCTTGCTTTTTTCCACTTAGACTTCTAGTGTTTTGTTGCTGTTTCTGGCAGTGCTGGGGCTACATCTCTTGAGATTGAGTGCCTTGAATCTTTGACATCCGGGGGTGAGGGATGTGCCTGAAACCCTACAGGTGTGCTGAACAGCAAACCTCTGGAACCATCTGGCCATCCTGGTAAGGACCACTGTCATCTGTGGTCAGTTACAGCTGAAAATAAGATTTCTCCTAAACAAAGGCTGGGCTCCCTGTAACTCCAGTGCAGTCATTCATAATTTTAATTCATTTTTTCCCTTAATTACTGAGGTTCCTAATTAATGTGGGCTGTCTGAGTCTAGTACTGGGCTTTTAAATGTTTCCATCCTTCCCTTCCCGTTGGTTTACTATTTCTGAGAGACAGAGTAGGAGGGGGGAAAACACTAGGTCTTTCATTGTGTGTGCATGCCTCTCTCTCATCCACTCCTACCACAGAAAAACCAAAAAGCAACAGCTGATTGCAAATTCTTTCTTCCACCTCCGCGCCCACTCTAAGGCAGGGCTCCTGTTGCTTGCTCCATGCTTGACTGGCCTTTTTATCTTTCTCCCTCCACCAGTCAGAGAGGAGAGGACTGTACATAGGACCATGGGGGGAGGGGAAAGGAAGGGGAGGGGGCATTTGTGTCTGAAGCTACCCAGAAGCCATTAGACAGCTGAGACGGATGCATCTGGGTCCCCAGACTTAACAAGAGCAGCCCAGCCCTGCCACGCACACAAATACACAGAGAACACTTTATTCCTGACTGCCTGGACTCCCACGCAGAAGAAGAGAGACGTGGGGGAAAAAAGCAAACGCTTACTTGCAAACCCCCATTTTACCCCACCACCCCCATCACTCCTAGTAATCTGAGAGACTTCTTGGGCCTCCTTGGATTTTCTTGGAGACTGGGGTTCTAGAAAGGTAAGTAGGAGTAGGAGTGGGCAGGGGGAAAGGCAGAGAAAGTTTTGTACTTGTTTCGGGGGAGGGGAAAGTGGCTTAGATGGAAGCCGCCTGGAGCCCAGGGATGGTTTGGAAATCTATTGACTTGCTGATGGCATAATTTGGATGGTTAGGTGAGATTCTGTCAGAGAAGGCTAAGGGTATGCTTTCAGTTGGGAAAATGACCTTAAGAGATATAAACCAGGGTTTTTTTTGAGGGGGGGGTTTAAGTGGAGATCTGAAGAAGAGGAAAAGGAGCTCATAGGAGGTATGTTGGGGCCAGGGACAGGAGAGCTTAAGACCGGGAAAGGTTTCTGTGGTTGTCTTGAACTCGGCATTTGAGTGGAGGTGGGGAGGATTTGTTCTGCTCCCCCTCACCCTTTTTCTTTCAGAGAGATTTTTTTTCCTTTGTTACTTAGGGGCTGTGTCAGTGGCGCAAGGGTAAGGGTATGTCTGCGTATAGCTCGTATGGATTTGGGAATGTGCCCTCGGGTGTGTGTGTACACACAAGTATCTAAGTAATAAAGATGTAGCTGGTTACAGGGTGATGAGTAGAGGCAGATTGAAGAGAACACTGGGGATCTAGTGTAGGAAATGTGAAGCTTCACTCCTCTTTAATCCATTTGGACCCAGGAGTGAATGCCGCCTTCTCCCCTCCTCCTCCTGACTCCCATTTCCTTTCTCCAATACTGTTGGAGCAGGCAGAGCTGGGGGTATTGACCACTACAATCCTCATGAGCACCTCTCTTCCCTCTCCCCACATGGACAACTGGAGGAGTAAACAGGGACCTCTACAAGGTGGGGGAGCAGAGTTTAGACACTGATGAGCTGCCCGGTGGGGTGTAGACAAACCTGGGGAATGGGTATGTTTCAAAATTTCCCCTCCTCCCTACCCTTCCTCCTTCCTCCCTTTCCAGCTCTCAGGTATTAAGGGAATGACTATTGTACAATCGTCTGTCTCTAGCTGCCGGCCGGTTTTCCCCTTCTTTGTCTCCCTGGGATGGCAAGGCTGGATGAGACTTGAATTGCATTGGGGTGGATCTCCATGAGCAAGCTGGGTGTCTAGGCAGTTCCTTTCCTGAATGGACCCCACCCTGGCTGGCCCTAGCCTTGCCTTGCCTTCCTCAAATTGTGTATGTGTTTCTGCAACTTAGCTTTCTCACGTGACCTGCCTGGTAGTTGCCATGGAAACTCCTCTCCAGTACTCAGCTTCTCTTCTCCTGCCCACTCCCCACCTCTATTCCACCCTTGCCTCCTGCCCCCTCCTCTACACATGGTTGCCTAGATACTGGTTATCCCTGGCTTTTCTGGAGACTGTATTCTGGATACCCAACCCCCATCTCCAATTTGATGTCCCCCAAGCTCTCTCCTACCCCCTCCTCAGCATAGACCCAATTCTATCTGGGCTGAGGCTCTCCCCTTTTCTGACCTCATCACTGCCTTTTCCAGTTCTCACACCCTTAGTAAACTCTCTCTCTCTTAGTAAACCTAGTAAACCTGGTAACCACAGCCCTTGACTCTGTATTCAGCTGGAAATCAGAAGGGGATTATCTTGTCTCTTGAAAAACAGAGAAAAGAGAAGGCCAGGAGGGAACTGATGGATGTCCAGGCTTTGGGAATCGGGGATAAGGGAGAATAGCAGAGCTGAGACAGACCTCGAGGCAGGAGGGCTAATATGGTTAGGTTGCCTTGGTGTGATTCCTTCCAGGGGATTGGTAATCTCCACTTTGGTTTCAAGGTCTAAAGAGTATGATTCTAGAAGATGAGGTGAAGGTATAGGCATGGGTTCTGCTCACATAGCACCATGCAGGGACTTGGAGGGGGAGGTCAATAAGGAAGCAGTATGTTATGGAGGATAGAATGGTGGGCTTGGGGTCAGGAAGACCTGGATTCAAATCCTGCCTTCATCAGGATTATTAGATGTGTGGGTGACCTCTGGCAAGTCATTTAGCCTCTGAATCTCAGTTTCCTCCTTTGTAAAATGAGGATCATAATGCGAATAGTTATCTACCTCAAAGGGTACCTTAAATTCAAATGAGATCATGTAAATGAGTTGCTAGGTGGTGAAGTGGATAGAACACATTCATCTTCCTGAGTCAGACTCATCTTCCTGAGTTCAAATCTGGCCTCAGACACTAGCTGTGAGACCCTGGGCAAGTCAACTATCCCCATTTGCCTCAGTTTCCTCCTCTGTAAAATGAGCTAGAGAAGGAAATGGCAAACCACTCCAGTATCTTTGCCAAGCAAACCCCAAATGGGGTCATGAAGAGTCTGAAGCAACTGAACATGTATCAGGCCCTTTACAAATATTATTTTATTTGATCCCATTTTTTGCTATCTTCCTCATTCTCAGCTATAGAGAAAACCATATGCTCAGTATCTCCCTCCTCTACAACCTTTGCTCCCTTTGACTCTGTAAACAGGGAAAAGGAAAAGACTCCAGAGATGAGCCCCATCTACCTCAGCAATGCTGAGAGAGTTGGTTTCTGCTAAGGGAAGGGAAATGGGAAGGGAAGGAAATAGCTTCTTGGGAGATAGGCAGAATGAGCTTCTCTGGTTCCCTCCTTTTCTTCTCCTCCCTCTGTCCTCCCTCCCTTTCCTCTCTCTCCCTCTCCTCTTCCCGCCCTTCTCCACCCATCTACTTCTCTCCCTACTTCTTTCCTTTTCCTCCCCTCTCCTCTTCTCTCCCTCTCCTCCCTCTTGCTCTCTCCTCTCCTTCCCTCTCCTCCTTCTTCTTCCTCGCCCCTCTCTCCCCCTTCCCTCTCCTTCCCTCTCTCTGTCTCCTCTTTTATAGCCTGCTTAGAACCTCAAAATGGAGCCTAATCCAGCCTAGCGAAGGAAGCTTCTGTGGTACCATGGGAAAAGCATTGACTCTAGGATCTGGGGACCTGGACTCCACTCCTGTCTCGGCCATTTATTATCTCCCTGACCTTGGGCAAGTCACTTCACCTCTCTGGGTCTCAGTTTCCTGAGTTGGGCTAAATGATTTCTGAGTTTTGTATGATTCTATGATTCTGAAGAGTGATTGTTTTTCTCTTGCTGTAGATGATGCCTTATGGTTAGGTTGCCTTGGTGTGATTCCTTCCAGGGGATTGGGGAAATAGCTACAGGACAGAAAAAAAAGATTATTATAATTTTTTGCATCCATAGACAGTTGAAAGGGAGATTATTTTGTTCTAGTCGTGGTTCCTCTAAAGAGTAGATGGTATTTTTTTTCCAGGGGCCTGTGAGGGAACCTTATTTTCTAAACTTCAGCATGGTGCAATGAATAGAGTGCCAGACCTGTAGACAGGAAGACCTGGGTTCAAACCTTGCCCTCCTGTAGCTGTGTAACCCTGGCCAACTCATTACATTTCTCTGGCTTTCGGTTTCCTCATGGGTAAAATGAGGAAGTTGAACTTAGTGACCTTAAACAATCCCTATCAGCTCAACATCTCTGATCCTGTGAGAAAGGCACAGACTGCTTCTGAGTCCTTGACTATTTTTCTGGCCATCCAGGACCATGAGAATGTGGCCCTCTCAGGGTAGGGGGAGGCTGCCCCAAATCAGAAGCCCATCAAAGTCTCTAATGTTGAGGGCTGGTTGAGGTTAAGAGGGTAAGGTCCCACAGGCGCCAGCTGGTGAAGCATTTGTGCCAGGCACCCCTTGAAGACCTTCTGTCTAACAAATTGTCTGTGAGACTGCCACAACTCCCTAGTGGAAACCAGCCAAATCACCAAATCTGGTGCCCAGGCAGCAGAAATGTGGCTCTGATGGGCTGGCATGGTCTGTCTAATGGAAAGAATCAGATCTTGGGCCCTCCCCCCAAGTTCTGCCGTCTGTGAGCTATGTGACCTGAGCCCAGTTAATCAACCTCTCTGGGCCTCAGCAGCCTCCTCTGAAAAATGAAGGGGCTGGAGTAGTTGACATTTGAGATCCCTGTGCTGATAAACTGTCATCACAGACAGTTTGTATGCTTCTAAGTACTTACCTGCTCATGCTTTTTCTAGATCGTAGATTGTACATTTAAAGCTGAGAGGGATTTTAGAGGCCATCTAGTCCAACCCAGCCTCCCCATTTCACAGATGTGAAAATGGAGGGTCAGAAATGTCCATGTCCAAGGTGACTCAGCTAGTGATTGTTAGAAGTGGAATTTAGATCCAGATCTTCTAACTCCAGAGTCAATGTAGGAAATTCATTAATTTTAGACATTCCCAGGTATCAGGCAAGAAACTCTCCAAATCCCCCTCAACCAACAGCCCTGTTATGAGACATCAGACATAATTTTTTCCCCTGGGGAGTGGAGTAGAAGGGGGCATTTCTGGGGAGCTTAGCTTAGATATTAAATATCATTTTTCCAGCCTATCTTTCTGGCCTTGTTATGAATTCCTTCCCTTTCTGTGCTTTACAATCTAACCAAATTGTCCTTCTTTCTGTTCCCCCCACATAGTACTCCATTTCCCATCCCTTGTCTTTGCTTTTAGTGTTCCCCCATGAATCGAGTGCACTCTCTCCTCGCCTTTGCCTCATGGAATTCCTTGCTTCCTTCAAGACTCAACAACCTAGCATTTTACAGTCTTTCCTGGTCCCTTCCAATTGCTAGGCTCCTCTCTCCTTGTATTTAATTAAGTTGTATTTGGTTTTTTATTCATTTTTTAATATATTCTGGATATTCTCTGTCTCTCTGTCTCTCTGTCTCTCTGTCTCTCTGTCTCTCTGTCTCTCTCTCTCTCTCTCTCTCTCTCTCTCTCTCTCTCTCTCTCTCTCTCTCTCTCTATCTGTGTTAATTCCCTAAGCTCCATGACAGTAGGGACTGTTTCCTTCTGTGTCTTTATAACCCTAGAGCTTGGTCCAGAGTAAGTGCTTAATAAACGCTTATCGAATCATTGGTTATTTGATTAGACGTCATTTAGTTCTTTATTTTGAAGGTGAGGAAACTGAAGCCTAGAGAGATGAGGAGACTTACCCAAAATCACACTGGTAGTAAGCGGTAGAATTAGGGT